TAACCAGACCCCACATTGAAAAAGACGATAATTGAAAAAAAAATTAACATTCACATGATGCGTCTAGAACCCGTGCCACCCGCATGGAAGCCTATTACACTAACAACTTAGCTATCTAGACTCGTGACGTCATTGGTGTGCTATATTCTTTGAGTCTCCTTATGAAACTTAATTTACGCGCATAGGCCCTAGATCTAGATCTAGTATCTTTCAAATTAAATTTTATCTTAAATTAGCCAATTGCATAGCTAAAAAAACAAATATTATATAAAATAATGAAGGTCTGAAATAGTTTAGTTTAGAAACTCATTATTATATAGATCTAGATAGAGTTATATAGATTCTACGACTGGTTTGCTTAAGCCGAGATTTTGTCGTAACTCTAGAATCTATGGAAGCAGCCATTGTTGTTTTAAAAAGTAAATAAATCATGTGACGTCACTATTCACTCTAAGTAAAGTCATTGTTCTGAACTTTTATAATTAATGTGGTTAATCTACCAATAAATAAATTAATTAATTAATTAACTTCTTTAAATAAATTCGTGATTAACAGTCTGTCTAAAAAAGAAAAATGTTCTCTACCTACATACTATTTTACAGCTCGACACATAGTGCAGGTTCTCTCCTGTAACCAAACGGACAAACAAACAAAAAAATAAAAATTCAAAATTCAAACATGTAAACAAACGTGAGTTTTAGTAGTTTACTAGACTACCCGTTAGTTAGATAACTGTGGGTTTCTCGGGTCATCCATAAATGACATCACGTCTGTCACCTATATCAAAATAACCAGACCCCCACATTCAAAAAGACGTAAATTGGAAAAAAAAAATTCATAAAAAACGTTTTAATAACAAGCTTTTATGTAATGATGCACTAAAAAGTAGAAAATAAATTATAGACTACTATTTAAATAACTATAAAGAAAAGCGTGGGTCACTTTAGTATCTATTGGATACCTTTACTAATGTTAAGGAAGACACCCACGCTTTTCTTTATAGTTATTTAAATAGTAGTCTATAATTTATTTTCTACTTTTTAGTGCATCATTACATAAAAGCTTGTTATTAAAACGTTTTTTATGAATTTTTTATTCAGTACTTTACATGTTTTATCTACAATAGAGTTACATGACTAAAAACCATTGCGCGCCTACTGAATATCACGTTCAGTAGGCGCGCAATGGTTTTTGAACGCAGCCATTACGTGGTCGTGATGGCGCAGCTATTGATGACGCGTGTGGTGTGGTTGGCTAGACATGCCTACTAATTCGGTCCAAATTTTAATTAATTCATAAAAAATCAATTATGCATCCAATTAAGTCAAATTTAGTTTCAGATTGCATTGTCTTCATGTCTTGACCCACGTGCCAACTGTGAATCGTGTCGGTCAAGTAGAACTGTCCGAATTTTCACTCCTGCGTTTCCGTCTAGACAGACTGACGACAGACTGACGACAGACTGACGAGGAAGTGAGTTAAATAAAAGCTTGTAAAAATTAACATATACATGATGTGTCTCGAACCCGTGCCAGCCGCATGGTAACCTAATACGCTAATCTCTAAGCAATCTAGGCTCATCTGTAGGTAATAACTTATACATTTTAGTTTTAGTCTGCATAAGAAACTACGCGAATCGGCCCTAGATCTAGATCTAGAATTATTTCAAATTACATTTTATCTTAAATTAGCCAATTGCATAGCTTAAAAAACAAAGATTAATATAACATAATAAAGGTCTGAAATAGTTTAGTAGAGAAAATCATTTTTATCTAGACTTAGATAGAATTATCTAGATTCTACGATTGGTTTGGTAAATTAAGTCTAGATCTAGATCTGGTATTTGCTGTAGTAACTCTACAATCTAGTTCTATCCTGTAACCAAACGGACAAACAAAAAAAAAAAATTCAAACATGTAAACAAACTTGAGTTTTAGTAGTATACTAGACTACCCGTCATCCCTTGAATAACTGTGGGTTTCGGGGGTCAACCATAAAAAACATCACGTCTGTCACTTATCTTCACACAAAAAACAGACCCCACATTCAAAAAGACGTTGTTTTTTTTATCTTTTAAAAACACCGATTTCGGCTGAGCATTGGTCTAACCACACTATCCCTTCATATACTGACATCACAGGTGACCTACTCAACTCTACTTCACCTGCCCAGTGACACGCCAAGTCTCAGACAACCTATTCCGGCCGAGCATGTCTCTGACCGGGTGTAGGACAAAAGGCCGACATCCAAAAGGCCGACAAGACAAAAGGCCGACACGGACAAAAGGCCGACATGGACAAAAGGCGGACAGCCAAAAGGCCGACAGGACATAAGACCGACAGGACATAAGGCCGACAACCATAAGGCAGACAGCCAAAAGGCCGACAGGACATAAGGCCGACAGGACATAAGGCCGACAGGACATAAGGCCGACAGCCATAAGGCAGACAGCCAAAAGGCCGACAGGACATAAGGCCGACAGCCATAAGGCCGACAAGCATAAAAAATACTAATATCTCAAAATATATGTTACTGCATAGCTGCTATCTTGACATCTATCGAAATAAAGCATGAAATAAAGTGAAACATTCAAGAGAAGAGACGATGCTAGTTGCTATCCTTATTAGGTGAACCATCCGCTCCAAGCGACTGAAGATTACGGGAGTGTCTTAAACACAAAGGATCAACACCTAAATATTGCGAAACGCGGTCACCACTGTCTTTTATTGCTCCTTCTATGTCAACGAGGTGAGATAATCATCAAAGAACCAAGTCAAAAGCCGTCGCATCATCGTCCACGTGCAACAAGATGGAACGCCAAGAGACAATGCTAGATGCGATCCTTATAAGGTGAACAATGGGGTCCATGCGATTGGAGAGGACGGAAGTGTACAAAGGATAGCCAGAAAAGTGGTGTCATCACCATATTTTGCAAAGAAATCAAAGAAACCGAATGAAGTAGAAAGATCACGTGCCTTTACTGGACTACATGTTAAATACCGACAAACTTGGAATTATATTTTAGTTTCGTCCATTGCAAATTGCGTGAAAGTGAAAAAAAGTGTATACTAAATTCGTTGGATTCATTAATTCTGTTGTGATTGTGATACAAGTGCCCCAGTAGGTTACGAAAACTGCAGAGTTTTACCGCTTGTCTACATTTTGATGTCTCGAAAAACCGAGGCTATGTATACACGAGCATTTCAGGACCTCGCAGATATCGCAGAAAAAATGCACATACACTTATCTCCACGGTTTATTGTCACTGACTTTAAGAAAGCTGCAATCAATACTTGCATTGAATTCCCATTTTTTTTCCTATTTTGTAATATACCTTTATCATTATGTAACTGGTTTTCAATAAAAATTAAACATGTCTGTAATTGTAGTTTGTTGTTTAATAAAACTTGTCGGCCTTTTGTCTTGTCGGCCTTTTGGATGTCGGCCTTTTGGCTGTCGGCCATTTGTCTTGTCAGCTTTTTGTCTTGTCGGCCTTTTGGATATCGGCCTTTTGGAAGTCGGCCTTTTGTCTTGTCGGCCTTTTGTCTTGTCGGCCTTTTGTCTTGTTGGCCTTTTGTCCATATCGGTCTTTTGTCCGTGTCGGCCTTTTGTCCATGTCGGCCTTTTGTCCGGATCCCCTCTGACCACACTATACTTCACCTTACCCGTATCCCGCCAAGTTCAGATAGGCAACTTTATCATTTACCTGAAAAAAAAATTGAAAATTTAACCTTGAAGCTATGTCTAGAAACCGTGCCACCCGCATGAAAGGCTATTACACTAACAACTTAGCTATTTAGACTCGTGACGTCACTGATGTTTTTTTATGGTATAATTTAATACTTTGAGTCTCCTTATGCAACTTCATTTACGCGCATAGGCCCTATCAAGATCTAGATCTAACTCTAGTAACTTTTAAATTAAATTTTATCTTAAATTAGCAAATTTTATAGCTAAACAAAGATTTATATAAAATTATGAAGGTCTAAAATAGTTTAGTATAGAAACTCATTATCATCTAGATCTAGATAGAATTATCTAGATTTTACGACTCGTTTGCTTAAGCCTAGTTTTTGCGTAACTATTGCTAGATCTAGATTAGACCTATTCTAGATCTAGATAGCTAAATCACAATGATTTATATCAAGTATTTAAGGACTAAAGTAGTTAAATAAAGAAACTAAAAAATGTATTATGATTTTAAAATGGATTGTATTTTTAACTAATTAATCTTTGGTTTAACCTAGACTCTAGATCTAGATCTATAAATAACTTTCTTGGACAGATTGTAGAACTAGTGAAATTTATTGTAAAACTAAATGAAAAAGACAGTTGAAAATTTATATAAGTGTTGGAACGTAATAAAAACAGCAAACGGACGTATTGCAAAAGTTATAACCGACAGAAAATTAGCTTTATAACGCGTTAAAGATCTATATAAGCAACGAAATATTTTATTAGAGCCGCCATTTATTGTACTAAAAAGTAAACAAATCATGTGACGTCACTATTCACTCAAAGTAAAGTCGTTTTTCTAAACTTTTAAAATTAATGTGGTTAATCTACCAATGAATAAATCAATAAATTAATTAACGTCTTTAAAGAAATTTGTGATTAACAGTCTGTCTGAAAACAAAAATTGTTCTCTACCTACATACTATTTTGCAGCTCTAAACATAGAGCAGATTCTCTCCATTATCCAATCAGACAAACAAAAAACAAACAAACGAATAAAAATTCAAACATGTAAACAAACTTGAGTTTTAGTAGTATACTAGACTTGCCCGGTCATCCCTTGGATAACTGTGGGTTTCGGGGGTCATCCATAAATGACACTGTTTGAAACTTTTAAAATGAATGTGATTAATCTACCAATGAATAAATCAATAAATTAATTATCGTCTTTAAATAAATTTGTGATTAACAGTCTGTATGAAAACAAAAATTGTTCTCTACCTTGTTACGTCCCTTACATGTCCCCTGCTTGTGTGCCTGTGTGTTGTGTGCTGGAACGACAGGTACCCTCCCTTTGGTGTATAGTTGTATCCCTTGGTTGAGTGTGTTTACATGGAGCGAGAGGTGTTCACGTGAGGTGTGTCAGGTGACGGGTGTCAGAGCGTGTGCTAGTGTGTGAATCAGTTAGTTGTAGTGTGGCTGTGGACGTGGAACGTGGAACGTGGGGGTTGAGATCTGGATGTGAAGTTGTGCTGTGGCTGTGGACGGGGAGACGTTGAGTATCTTGTTATTTTATGTTGTAGACTCCATTTGCTCTTTTATTGTTCTTATTACTGTATATATTTATATTAAACGTCTTATTGTTATTATTATATTTATATAGTGTTAGTTGTCTTTGTTTGTCGCTACATATATATATACCCTAGATTCCAGAACCCAACATTTGGGGGCTCGTCCGTTTAGCATGGCTACTACCAGGAGTGCCAGAAGACAGCTAATAAGTGATTTGAAGGAGGAGGGAAAGCTAATTGGGCTGACCGATGACAGTTTGGCGGAGTGGGTGAAGGAAGAGTTGAGGAGGGTGGAAGATGCGAAGGTCGAGGTTGTAGCAAAGGTATGTAACCCTGTACCCCGCTTGAGGGATGTGGCGGCGATGACGGTGGACGAAGACCTGGGTGCGTATGTGAGGCATTTTGAGAGTCAGGCAAAGAGACAAGGCATTGACCCCAAGGACTGGTCGCTCCTTCTGACGGACAAGATGAGTGGACAACTGAAGACTTTCCTCGTTGAGACGGGACTGAACTTGCATCAGGACTTCGAGTCAGTAAAGGTAAAGTTATTCACGCACGCAGGTTTCAACGAGGAAAAGTATAGGGTCAGATTCCACCAGCTAGTACCAACACACGACGACATGAGAAGCTTCGCAGTCAACACAGAAGCCGCTTTGAGAGCGTGGGTCCAGCAGTCGGGAATAAAGGAAACGTTTGAGGACTTGATGAACCTTTTGATAGTTGATCGGATAAAAGCAGTTGTTACTTGTGATCTGTTGGAGAGGCTGAATGGTGCTGCTAAGGTAAGTGTGGAAGATAATCTTAAAGTTATTGACAACTATAAGAGCACTCGGAACGCTAGAGTGACGAGGCCAGTAAACCAAACCCCTCCGTACGTCGCTGCAAGTTCTACAGCAGAGAGGATACCCTGGCAAAACAAGACACCGCGATCTCCAGGACACCACACTTGCCCTGGTGTACAGCCTATGCATGGTGTTAGGAAGATCAGCCTGAACAGTAAATGTTATGCATGTGGACGTTATGGACACTATGCCAGGGATTGTCATAGCAATAGTAATAGCGGCTTTACTTGGAGAAATAGGTCAGATAAAAGAGCTGTTGTGGAGTATGGAAACAACAAAAGACCTTATCGGTGCTACAAGTGCAATGAACAAGGTCATATTGCCAAAAAGTGCAGTATGGATATAGATACAGGCGCCTGTTATAGCTGTAGAAAGCCAGGCCACATACAACGAAACTGTCCCAACGGGACCAGTAGAGCGAGCAACTGGCGTACTGAAAATGTACATCGACGGTCAGATGATCTCAAGTGTTATTGCTGCGGTGGTGTTGGTCACATATCACGGGTGTGTCCCACAGCTCAGCGTGATATGTTAGGAAATTTTTCCCTGCTTAAAGACTCTCATATGAGAGTGAGGTAAAGCATGAAATTTGGAGGCGTATCCTTACAAAGGTAGTGTCCTTGGTAAGTTTTTTGTTAAGATAATTTATTCAATCAATGTAAATTTTTCTTTGTTTTTTTTTTCTTTTTACAGAAGCTGTGTATGATGATTACGGGCTGGAGATGATTAATGTAGTTAAAACGGCTATCGAGAAAGGAACTCAGTTTGATCGCCTTTAAGAAAAGATGACCATCTATGGCGACGTACGCATCTGCCGATGGGCCCTTACACTACAGGAAATAGCCTGTACTGTGAAACATATCAAGGGAACTGAGAACTTTGTAGCAGACATTCTATCACGAGTGTTTTACGCCAACTAGTGTATATGATATTGAGAAATGTATTATTGTTGGAGTATGGTATGATTATGTTAAGGAATTTACTATTGAGGCATTATAACCCTTCATTTCATGAATTAATTTTGTGAAAGCTTTTTGAGAAAAAAAAATCTTACAAGGTGGGCTGTGGTGTGTAGAGAGCATAAATAATGAGGAAATTGAATTATTTTATCAAATAATGTTTATTTTGCAAAATAACAGTATGTATCAGATTTGATACAGTATGCAATGGTGGGTAAAAATTTGTTAAAATTGACAAAAAAGTATTTTTTACTTATCATTGAAAATTTATTGAGTAATTATTAATTTGAGTAAAACACTTATTCATCCCAAATCTGGAGCATCAGACATTCATTTACAAGGTAGTAATTTACATTTTTTTCACAATATTGCTATTACCAGTTATGTCATATTTCTTAGTAATCATGCATCTTTTTATTGTGTAAGTCAATAAGCAGCATCACTTTGCTCAGCATGACCTCTATCTAGTATAATTTGAAATTGTTTTGTTTTAAATGCAAAGTAGTTTTTAATGACTCAAACTTGTTTATATGAAAGAAATTAGAATATATCTACAATGCTGATATTTGGCCATTATTAGAACTTTTTCCTATGCAATGAAACCAGAGACATGACTGGTAGAAGCCAATGAATTGATTTATTTCTTCTATATCAAAGACTTCAAGCTTTATCTGGATTCCTCTGTGCAATGTAGATCTAGAAAATCCTTTCACCCAGTATACTAAGATAGTCTTTATCCATGGTGTGAAATAAAATAATCTTGAACAGCCGGAAGGCCTTGCACTAAAAACTATGTTGGTCAGTTCCTATTCCTCACAAATAATAGAAAACATTCATGTGTTTTAGTTAACCACTTTGCTGGACTAGCATCTGCTTACATCTTATGAATGTACATCTTATAAATGTAGGCCTACAGCTTATAAATGTATATCAGAATAAAGTCTACCGCTTTACTTGCTCCGAACCAATCCCTTTATTCTCTCTACATCACTTTCTAAGTGTTCAATTTCAGTTACAGTAACACCTTCAACATTAGGTAAATAAATAGATGAATAATTAGACATTAGTGACCAAAGAAATGTGCAGTCTCTATTTCAGACAGAATTCTTTTGTGAGAATCTTTACCCATCCTGTAAAAAAAAAAATTCACTATAAGAAACTATATATTATTTCTAGATTTATTTACTTTATCTTCATGCATGCACAAATTAAATTATAATTTAAATAAAAATAATGTATCACTGCTACTTTTTTATATACTAGAGGATTAGGATTTTATTTGCAAGTTTAAATACTATATGCAAGAATGTCAATCAAATATTATTATGCCATTTTTTTTAAAAACAATTATTGCAAGTGATAAGTTCAATATGTACTATAGGCCTTTTTATTAGATTGTAACTTCATAAGATGAATAATCAAATATTACACCAACTTCACTTTCATTTACATTCTCCTTGAAGTCTACCATCTATTTCATTCAGAACAGTTTTGCGACAAAATTTATCGCTCGCTCTAGACAAAAAGAGATCCTGTAAAAATAAATAAAACAATGTCTGCACCAAACAATCTCTAATCATTCATGAACTTCATGGATTTATAAATTAAGTTTTAATTACTATTATAAACATAAGTAAACCACCACTGCCTATAGTAATTATTACTGTTTGCGTACCGATATGAAGTAAATAATAAGTAGACTAAGTATGTAGGCCTATGCCTAATATTATTACTTATTTTCTATAATAATAATTACTGTACTACTTTCTAAGCTTATTAGACCCAAACACTGTCTCTGTGTATGAATTAGTATGATTAGAGAATTATATGCAAGTTATTCTAAGCAGTAGCTAGTAAATATCAGTCTAATACTATATTATTATTGTTATACATTATGACACTTTTTTTGGTCTTCAATAGCAGCACTACACTGTACACCCTTTATTATAGGCTTATTATAGTAGCACACTGATCATCTGTATGTATATAGTACTGAGTAAGTGCTAAATCTAAGTAAAATTAGTATACAATAGTCTACAGCTTGACTATGTTACTATTGTTACAGATTTTGACACTATTTTTCTTCTATAATTTACATATTATTATTGTAAAAATATGAAAGAAAAACAAACCTAAGCTAGTGTAAGAACCAACAGTTGACTAGAGTCTACCTACTAGATGTTAGGAATTGTTCTATCAACTAATTATTATACTACAGAAAAGTCACTATACAGTAGTCCCAGCAAGTGTCATGGTCATACCGTTGCATGGTGTATCAAAACTGTTACATACCGTAATTGGACATTATCAGCACAAATATAAAGAAATAGTATGCAAACAACTTATTTTTAGGTAAAATTACTCACCTGAGATTGGTGAATATTTTTTTCAAGAAGAAAAACACGGCCTGTGAATTTTTATTATTTTCTCAAAAACACCTCGATCACAGCTGTCCGACCAGTGTAAAAAAACGGAATCAAACTCGAATTGTGTGAGACGAAACACACCTATAGTCTGTTTTGGGTATGAAGTTGGGTCAAAAGTGATCAAGCTAGAGTATGGCATATTAAAAACTCAGATTTTAACATTTGTGTAGATTCAATGGGGGTTATTTCACTTTGTATCAAAATTGATACAACATGAAATGAAGGGTTTCTTTTTACAGAAGCTGTGTATGATGATTACGGGCTGGAGATGATTAATGTAGTTAAAACGGCTATCGAGAAAGGAACTCAGTTTGATCGCCTTTAAGAAAAGATGACCATCTATGGCGACGTACGCATCTGCCGATGGGCCCTTACACTACAGGAAATAGCCTGTACTGTGAAACATATCAAGGGAACTGAGAACTTTGTAGCAGACATTCTATCACGAGTGTTTTACGCCAACTAGTGTATATGATATTGAGAAATGTATTATTGTTGGAGTATGGTATGATTATGTTAAGGAATTTACTATTGAGGCATTATAATATAATTATATTGAGAAATGTTTGAGAAAGGTATTACTGATGCAGTTTAGAATGATTATGCAAATCAAATTTTTTATTGTGGCTTCTCACATGTATCTTCATAGGTTGAGATAGTCAGACCACGAGCTTGGTGCCCGGCCGGAGAAAACCATAGTCCACACTCAGGACCGAAATGTTAAAGCTGGATGCGAGCCACACTCTGGATCGAACTGTCCAGGCTGGATATACGCCAAACGCTGTCCCCACCGGTCAAAGCGAGGCTTCCTAAGGACTAAAGAATAAGTAGTCGAGCTCGGGCACCAACAGTGGCTAAGGGAACAAGAAATATTTGATCTCTTTGAAGAAAAAGAGATCTGAAGGTGGAGGGGAGGGATGTTACGTCCCTTACATGTCCCCTGCTTGTGTGTGTGTGTGTTGTGTGCTGGAACGACAGGTACCCTCCCTTTGGTGTATAGTTGTATCCCTTGGTTGAGTGTGTTTACATGGAGCGAGAGGTGTTCACGTGAGGTGTGTCAGGTGACGGGTGTCAGAGCGTGTGCTAGTGTGTGAATCAGTTAGTTGTAGTGTGGCTGTGGACGTGGAACGTGGAACGTGGGGGTTGAGATCTGGATGTGAAGTTGTGCTGTGGCTGTGGACGGGGAGACGTTGAGTATCTTGTTATTAAAACGTTTTTCTTAACTCAGCTTCGCGTTTGTTTGTTTGGTTGTTTGGATGTTTGTTGTTAAAATTGACATCGAAAATTAGCCCACTTCTGATTGCTCTAAAGACCTGAAATTTGGCATGCATGCTACTTTCGCCTAACAATTTCAGATGCAATCATAAAAACTAGCAATTAGTGACCGTAATTAGCTTAATTTAATTACGCCCCAAGGACCATAAAATTGAGGACATGATTTCTAAAGATACCGACAAGACTGGAGTCCTAATGACACAGTTACTTCGGCCCCAATCGATGTGAGCGCGCTGGCCGTGATCGTATAGTTGTTAGTACTTCGCGTTGTGGCCGCGACAACCCAGGTTCGAATCCTGGTCGCTCAAGATTTTTAGTCCGTGTATTTATAAACACTTTTTTAAAAACCACGTTTTTCATGTGTAGCAACGGACTAAAAAGGAGAAAATAAAATACTTAAAAAAAACTTTTTAAAAAACCACGTTTTTCTTGTGGACTAAAAAGTAGAAAATAACTATTTACATACATTTGATGACAAAAAACGTGGGTCGGGCAGATGGGTCGGGAAATTTGATGGTGAACGTACCCACGTTTTTTGTCATCAAATGTATGTAAATAGTTATTTTCTACTTTTTAGTCCACAAGAAAAACGTGGTTTTTTAAAAAGTTTTTTTTAAGTATTTTATTTTTTATGTTGTAGACTCCATTTGCTCTTTTATTATTCTTATTACTGTATATATTTATATTAAACATCTTATTGTTATTATTATATTTATATAGTGTTAGTTGTCTTTGTTTGTCGCTACATATATATATACCCTAGATTCCAGAACCCAACATACCTACATACTATTTTACAGCTCTACATATAGTGCAGATTCTCTCCAGTAGTCAATCAGACAAACAAACAAATAAATATTCAAACATGTAAAAAAAAACTTGAGTTTTAGTAGTATTTAGATAGATAGATTAAAGTTGAGGTGAAAGCGGAAGCCATGTCGTATGTTTACTGTTGTGAATGGACCTAAGTGTATGGAATGAGTTTGAGAGTATGTGTGTAGTTGAATGGAGTTAATATAGTTGTGGATGGCTTGAGAGTATGTGTGTAGTTGAATAGAGTTAATATAGTTGTGGATGGTTTGAGAGTATGTGTGTAGCGGTATTAATAAAAGATTATGAATGCGTGAATAAATAAGGATGTGACGTAGGAGAGAATGTTTCGTTGTTATGAAGATATTTGGAAGTCAGTCTGCGTCTTGTCGTCGTCATGTGAGGTTGTGTTAGGAAGTCTTCGTCCTGTGTCTGCTGTTGATGTAGCTGTTTATTATATGTAATAAAATATGGAAACATCGTGGCGTCGTTCAGTGTTCTCCTTTTGGATCGTCG